TTCCCACCGTGGCAATTGAGTTAACTGAAAACCAATGTCAGAGTGTGTTTCCAGAGTGTACATGCAACAGGAAGAATCGATGTGACTCAAGGCCGCTAATAGGAATGGCCATAAGGCTACCAAAAAGGCTTCAGAATGCCGGCCGAATGGGTTATTGCGGTTGTTAAGTTCTACATTCTGTGGAAGAATCCCGTGGCCCACTGGCTTGTTGCGAAAGTTACACCGCAAGTGTTTCAGACAAAATGTGAACATAATGCACTTGATATCCTAGTAGCTTCTTGTTACTAGTAGCGATGCGAGGAGCCCCTAGTAGCGTCCTTGCTCCTGGTGGCGATGCCCTTTGTTCCTAGTAGCTTCTTTTTGTGACAGCAAAAGGATATCAAGTGCAGTTTCTGAAGTTGCAAAAGGGAGCCCTCCTCTTCCCAAGGATAGCTCTTCCAAAGCACGGAAAGCGACTGGTGTGCGCCGATATCTGCGATGGTTCCTTCTTGCCTTGGCAACTCCACGGCAGTGAGACCGTTGATGGGGTTTGCGGTTCGCGTTGATTACGTCTTTAGGGTGTGCACGTATGGTGAACTGAAGACCGAGACCACCCTTCAAGGCATAAGACCAAATCACTTTTGATTAAGAAACAAGAAAAGGACAGAATTCAAAAGCAGGCATGATTGTTTCCTGCTTTAACATCAGCAGATTAGTCCAAAATCCAAGACTTGAGCAGTTTCCAGCGGCACAAAGCGAGTACGTACGTCTCAAGCCAAGCATCCGTATCATACTTGCGATTGCGGCCCTTGCAAGCCTGCGACAGAGTTCTCTAAAAAAAAGCCAGTCCCGACCTCAAACAAGTGTCGTGCCACAGGTTTCAGACTGCAATACCACTTTTGAACATGCGAAAGCCACGAACCTCGTAGTGGTCATCAAAGCCACTTTCTTCACATGGGGTGCTGACGATTTTGTACTTTATCTCCACCCAAATGTCATCCTCCTCCGGAGGTGCTGTTGGATCAGAACGGTATGTCGTCCGCACGTGCCCTTGAAAGTCGTGGAGATCTCTCAGATCCTGAAAACAAGGCACGGCTCAAAAGCATTGGTCTTGTGATGGGTTTGGTCCTTTGGTGTGGAATTAACTCACTTCTGAATTATGTTCATTTCAGTCCTGCTTCAAGAAGGACGTCTCATGCTTCCGCGATTTCGGCTTGGAGAACAGTACCTTAGCCGAGCCCATGGATTCATGTCGGTGACCTGAGAAGATGCAGCCATTTGCACTCACTCCTATGGCCTATGTCATAGCAATACCAGTAGCAAGCTGCAGGTTTCCTGGCAGCAGACTACCCAGAAACCCTGACCCAGCAAGCCCCGATGCTATAGACAGGTGGCGGGTAACTTTCGTCCACGCTCCAGGTCAAAGGCCCCTCAGGAAGCTCTTTTTTGAGCCCCAAACAGACTGGCATGTCTCGGGCTCGGCCCAGGTTTTTGCAGATTTTTTCTGGCAGTGCTTGAAACTTGCCCAGGCGCTGCCATCGACTGGCGCCCGTAAATTCAGGCGTCGAGTCCTTTTTGCCTCCCAAGTCGGGGACGTGCGAGCTGACACGAGCTGCTACGATATCTGTGGGCCATGGCTAGTAGGAGCAAGAAGCTACTAGGGGCTCCTGGCCTTACTACTAGGAGCAAGGACGCTACTAAGAGCAAAGGGCATTGCTACTAGGAGCAAGGACGCTACTAGGAGTAGGTTGAAGGCCATTGCAACTGAATCCAACACTCCGATGTTCTAAGCCAAGCATCCTTCTCCCGAGCATTCGTCTCCCACTTCTGATTCCGTCCCTTCTTCACCTCCGAACAAGAACAACTGATACTCATCATACTCATCAAATTCATCATAGTCATACGACTCATAACTCTACTGACACCTATGACCAAGAACCTCCAATAATCCAATCCAAAGACTTTGGTGCCTTCACCTGCCTTGCACCCCATGTAACATCTCCTTTTGCTACTTCTAAGGTCTGGAATGCTCTGACGCACCTGGGCGACTTCTCTTGGTCCATCCGTTGAACCCAGCCTGGTAATCCTGAAGATTGAGATCATCGATGTCTTCGTAGTGTGGTGCTGGCCTGCACTCCTGAGTTCCCAACTGAAGCAATGTTAAATAAACAAGTTCAGCTCTTTCTGGTTCACTTTCGAACCTAGACTCTCGAACATGTGAACGTGAGAATGCTTCATCTTGGAGGCGTTGTGGAATTTGAGGAGTGTCAAATCAAGGCTCAGGGCAGTCGCAACGACGCAAGTCCGGCCATGCATTCTCCATCTCCGTGGCTCTCAAGCCATTTTGCGGAGTCCTCAAGTACAACTCAAAACCTACTAGCGATGGCCTCCACCCTAGTAGCGATGGCCTCCAACCTACCAGCACAAGTAGAACTCAAAACAACATTGCTATGACTGCCTTGCATCATGGACTTTTAATGACCCCTTGCTACAAAGAAGGCCTCTTTCGTAGTTCTTCGCTTTGCTTTCGCTTTCTTTCCTTCCCGCTGTTCTTTTTTCATCCAGTCTGACGTCCTTTCGGGCATCTCCATGTCATAATGCAAGTGCAAGTACATCAGAATGTGGTGGAACCACTTCAGGGCCAAGAACTTCTCAGCATCACCTTAGGGGCTCCTGGCCTTACTACTGGAAGCAAGGACGCTACTAGGGGCTCCTGGCCTTACTGCTAGGAGCAAGGACGCAACTATGTGCCAAGAAATGTGGTGTCACTGCTACCAGGAATGGATGGCCAGCATCAAATAGTCATTCTGCTAGATTCCCATTGGCTTTCACCACATGGTGCTTTTAAATCAACAAATTAACCAAAAATACAGAATAGCCCCACTGTCCACTGGATTCGCTTTGAAAGTGCCAATGTGTATCTGAGGTCGTGTTCTGGATATCTTTCATGATCAAGCCTAAAGCCACTCGTGGACCCCAAGTCACTGGTCACTGGCTGCTCCATCTCTGGCAAGATGAACACACAAAGCTTGAGCCGTAACAAACTTCCCAGCGAGAGCTGTGAGTTCCTCCCACGGCTGGTCTGAGACAAAAGAGGACGACCGTGGACGAATTGCTGAATGTTCTGCAACGGCCTCCAACTTAATAGCGTCCTTGCTCCTAGTAGCGATGCCAAGAGCCCCTAGTAGCTTCTTGCTCCTAGTAGTAAGGCCAGGAGCCCCTAGTAGCGTCCCTCCAACCCAATAGCGATGGCTTCCAACGCCTATGGACGAATTGTTGAGTTCTTGAAAATGTCATTGAGCTGGTAGCTCTACAAAGCTCTTCTTCCCAGCTCTCCGCAGCGTATTCGAACTGGCTGCGAGTCAGTACCCAGGTCAAGGTCAGGAAGTAGGATAGAAGGAATCAGGCTGCGTCACAGACTTCTGACAATCTCATGTTCAATTTGTTTAGATTGTAGGTGAGTTGAAGTCCGCTGCCAATGATTCCGGCATCCACTTTGCCCTACGCTCCCAGTTCTGGTCCGGGAAAGTAGGACTGCCAGGTGGCCACGACCTCTGTACACTGTACATTGCACTGTTGGCACACGACTGCAGCCCCTGGAAAAGCGAAGGAAACGGTCCGGGCCAACTCCTTCCCAACTGAAGTTGTGGCCCCTTGCAGGAACGCAAATGGGCTAAACTGCGGCAAAGAAACTCAGGTTAGTTTGCCCTTTCACTAGAGCTCCCACAGCTCCTGGCCGAGTGTGGGCCCATGGTCCATTCCATGCAACAAACTGGAATTGGACTCAACTGCCTTAACTAGCGCCACCAACTGTTACTTGCTACTTGCAGCAACAACGACAGCTACTACAAATTACCTTCCCTTCTAATCCTTTCTTTCCTTCCCATTCCTCATTCTTGCTTTCTTTCCTTGATCTACTACTAGGAACAAGTGCATCGCTTCTAGTAACAAGTGCCTTACTAGTAGGAACAAGGTTCGCTACTAGGAACAAGTGCATCGCTTCTAGTAACAAGTGCCTTACTAGTAG